ACACACACACACACACACACACACACACACACACACACACACACACAGAGCGAGACACCTGTTTCTAATGGAGCTGGTCCAGAGTGTGCAAACTTCAAAGAGTCTTTCTGTCTGAGCGCTGCATTCCAGTAACAAGCCCTCCACTCTGGTTTCCCTCCACTTCGTGTTTTTGAAACGCCAGCAGAGCAGACATCTTTTTCCATGCAGCTCAATTACAACATTATTATAACAGACTTGTGTGCTTTTTATTAGTGTGTCGTAGTGTAGCTCGGGGTTTACCAGCTGTTACCAGCACAAATACTCTCTCATAAGTTGTAAGTGTTGTTTTTTTTTTATAGAAGACATATTGGAGAAGATGGGAGCTACTGGATTTGGCACAAAGAGAGTAGATTATCATCACCGTTGGACAATGAACCGAGGATGTTTATCATCACATTTACTGATAAAAGGGGCTTTACTTGACTTTTTGAAGGTTACTTATTCTGCACTTATTGCACTCATTTATTCAGCTGCACTCTGAGGAATTATAAATCATTATAAATCAGGAGGTAACATTCTCGTCCCACGGTCGGTCATCTCGGCTCTCCATTTTATAAAACTCTACTACCCTCTGGTGGTGCCATCTGAACATACACATAATACTCCTTAACAGAGTATTCTGTCCTGTACTACTTTATTATTTATACATACCAAGGAAAATATACTTCATTTTTTAGTAGTTTATTTTTAGTTATTATTACTTTGTGCCCAAATGAACATGCATGTTTTTGTTATTAATCTGCCCGTCTACTTTTGATTAACTTTTTTAAAATCCATGTAAGGTAGATCTTGAATGCAAGACCCTAAATGATGTCTTTAAATGTATTATCTTGTCAGAGCAACAGTCCAAAACTCACATTTATTCAATTTGAAGTCGTACAAAAAGAACTGCAGCAAATCCTGTCAATCAAGTAAATAATTTAGTTTGATAAATGACTCTAACGCATTAGATTTAAACATAAACGAGGTGTACGCATAATGATGTGTTTAATTAAGGTCAGCGTTTTTTAGGTAGACCTTCTTCTACCTACCGCTAGTTACCACCGTGTGCTAAAGTGTTAGCATGAAGCTACAGCCTGATGTACAATGATGAGGGTTTCTTTTTTGCTCATACAGTTTTCTGATTGTTACTGAAGTATTACAGGGAGGGGCTCAAGTGTTCTGGATGGACCGGATTTCAGTGCTGGACCACAAACATCTCCCATCATCCCACTGTGGAGCCCCCCAACCGGCAGTCTGCACTCTCCTGTTGCCCAGCACAGACTGGGAGGGAAGCCTTCAGACTCGTGCTGTTTGTTCCTCCCACTGGAAGAACTACATCATCTTCTTCTTCTTCTTCTTCTTCTTCTTCCTATATAACCACTTTGGAAACATGACGCTGCCTCCCACATGGAGCTAGAGACAGCCTACCTGGCACAGCGGGCCGCCTGGATGGACTTGGAGCGGATGATTCTGATTTCATGCACTGAAAACTGAACTTTTTTTTCTCGTGATCCATCTCGACGCTCTGTGCGATTTTGTTCCTCCTTGGCGCTTCTTCCCGAGGCGACTCAATGGTCGTTGGGCCGTTACAGGAGACTCGCCAGTGACGTTTCTGTATTTTTATTTTTCTATCCACAGCTGGGTTTGGTCTGAGGCTTCCCCACAGTTGGAACTGTAATTGGCGCCCAAATGGCGCCTGTTGGTTCCTCGTGCACACTCGTGGATGCGCTGCTTAATGACACCAGAGCCCTGCGAATGATCCGTGTTCATGAAATGAGGGTATACAGCGGGGACTGAGAGGGAGCGTTGTGGAGTTCAAGACAGGAAGGAAATGAAGTATTTTGAATATTGAAGTCGATGAAATGTATATTCTTCCCCTCATTGGTGCCATTGAGTGCAGTTGAAATGCTTCACCCAGAGTCCGAGGTGGTGCGTAAATCAACTGTTTTCAGACCTTGTGTTTAATACACACGAGCACATCACCAACAAGGTTTCGAGAAGCTCTCTGGAGAAAGAAGAACTTGGATAATGAAGGTGTTTTGTAATACAAAGATTGATGTTCTATTGCATATGTTTTGTATGGCTTTTGGAAAAAGTAAAGATATTTTAATGACTAGAAAGAGGGTACGCAAGATGAAAGGGAAAGAGCTGTTAAAGGGGGAAACTACGGCGTATGAAGAGCTAGAGCAGATTTAGGTGAAATGATATTTTTTGAAATACCTTTATTGATAAATGCATGGCCCAAGTTGCAAATACATTTCTTTATCTTTCAGGCAAAATCAGCAACTGTTTGAGGAGCTCAGAGCTTGTTGTGGTTAATGTTCGAGTTTGGTAAAATCCGGATTGAAGAGCCGAGAGGTAAATAAAGAGAAGGTGAAGTATGTGGCTGAACGAAGCGTTTTTAAATCCTCCATCTCATGCAGAAATCTTTTTGACGGGACTCAGGGAAGTGTGGCGAGGGAAGCGAAGTCGGTCTGAATGTGAAGTGTAACGTACTGTGTACTGTGATGCACCCTGGAGATTTCTTTTGTGGGTTTCTGTGAATCGGTGCATTCTGGGTAATATTGGCTAGATGTGGAGCTTTGATCACCGGTATTTTTAACCCTTTTTAAAAAAGTTTTACTGTGTAAAAAACTATATACAGTATCTTTCTCTAGGTGTACAGGAGACAGGTTTATAACGTGAGGCCGATGATAGAGTAACGGTTAGAGCTTTGTAGAACCTGTCGTAGCCTAAAAACCGCTCAGTATTCAAGCTTTGTGATCACGTAAAATTAAATAAAGTAAGAAAAGGGACCTCACTACTAACTATTGTTACTCAGCAGGTATGAATCATGTTAATGCTTTTTCACTTTTGTGTTAGCTTGTGTTGGTGCTCTGGTTGACACACGCATAATTAACTTCTTGATGCTACAGCTGGCACCATTTACACTTTTTTTTTTTTTTTTTTCACAATTAAGAAGAATTTGTTTCTACTTTTGTTCAGTTGTGTGTAGGATTTTAATCGGGTCATTTAGCGTTTTGGCTGATGGAGAATTGTGAATGTTAATAAAATGATTTACTCTCTATAGGAATGGATTGTGGTTTGGAATTAAAGTGGAGGGTTGTGAATCGTCTTTGTTGTTTTTGTTAGAATGAGATGTTTATATCTTCGTGGAGCTTGCCGCCATGTTTGTACAGTAGCCCAGAACGGACAAACTAAACACTAAATCTACCTGCTGTAGCTCTCCTGCACGAGATGTTTCAGTTGGTTGCAATATCACCACTAGATGCCGCCAAATCCTACACACTGCAGCTTTGACTTAACATTGTCGGACTCGTGCACAGTTTTAAATAAATCAATGCTTTCCTCTTCCTTGTCAACCTGGGGCATCAGAAGCGGGCTGCACAGGTCGGTAAATAGACAGATTTGTTTTATCCTCAAACCTGTAGTCAGTCTTCAGACACAACTAGCTAATCATAAAGACTGGAAACCAACAGGGAAGCAAAGAAAGTGCATACATGATGCAAAATACAGTTTCCATCTTACTTCAACAGTTGTAAAAAATTAAGTAACTTCAAAAGTAAGTAACGTTTTTGGTTACTTAATTTTTTTCGTTACTTTTTAGATAACGAATTCTCAATTTTCTGAGTGAATCTTTCTAAGCTTCTCTTTTTAAGTAAAATTGCTAAGGGTCGAACAGATGAAAAAATAAATTAAATGGCATTTAAAATAATTTCAAAAAATAATTTAATTTACAAAAGAAATTAAATTAAGTTAATTAAAAAATGTAATGAACTTAAACAATTAAATTAAATAATTAAATTGAATTAAAAGTCATAACATGCTATGCTGTATATAATTCGTAACATAGTACATAGAGAAGTCATAGTATGTCATAAAAATCATGATGTATGCCATAAAGGAGTCATAAAAACATGTCATTGTGTAGTATGCCTTATCTTTAACTTTTGCTCTGTCCTTAAAATAAGTGATACCCGGAAAAAAGAGCAGAGTGATAGCTCTGTAATTTTGCACATCAAAACATATTAAAAACCAGTTGGAGAAGAAAATACACAACTATGCACATTATATTATCAAACGGACTACAGATCAGCCATACTGAGGAACTGACATCTTCATGGAGCAGCAATGAGCAACTATCTTTAAATCTTTACATACTAAAACTTTTTTCAAAGGATAGAAGAATAACGTTATATAGTGTGTATTTATACTATACTTTGACTTTTACTGTCTTTTTTTGTGATGTACTATTCTGATTTTTTTTTTTTTAATGACGTTTGTATGACTTTTATTGCATACTATGCAATGACATATTTTTGGTATGACGTTTTTAGTAACTATTTTATTTTAATAGTTGTCATTTTAACAAGAGCACCGTAGATGCAGAAGTACATGTATTTTTATGCAAGTGCTGTCGACATCACTTTCAGAGCAGAGGAGACATTTCTCCTGGTGTGATGACTCCTAACGCGTAAACGATCTTTCCCGTGACGCACATTTGGCGCGAAACTCGGTTTGGAAAGCTAACGTGACATCGGAGAAAAGGTAGAAATGAGCAAAAAGGATAACGGTAAGAGTTAGCTTTTATTTCCGGGTGTTTTTAACTGTAACAAGCTAGCTGGTCGTATCTGACACTCGTATCGACGCTCGCTCGAGTTCACAGATAAAACGGGTTTAGCTAACAAGCTATCAGCTAACGTTAGCTAACGTTAGCTAACGTTAGCTAACGTTAGCTACGTAGATATCAGCTAACGTTAGCTACGTAGATATCGGCTAACGTTAGCTACGTAGCTAACAACATAACAAGCTAGCCGCTAATACGCTCACTTTCACAACTTGATATATTTGAGCTAAAGCAACCTATGTGGGGTGTTTTATTAAGTCATGGAATAAACTGACATTGTTAAAGTGTCTTAAGCTCACTTAAGACCTAGCTAACTTTAACATACAAACAAGGACGATTTAACGTTACAACCTAAAAACCCAACGTACGTCAGTTACGTTAATATTTTGGGAATGTTTGTTGTCCTGATCATCACATGCCGACGTCATCCACATGCGCCAGCTAGGGAGGTTGACGTTCACATAAAAGTGCATCAAGTCAGTTTTAAGGATAAAGACCATACAAATCTAGCTTTTTTCTCTCTCTTGTTTGAGGTTTATTAAGTATGTTATTTTACCATTTGGGAATGTTTGTTGTCCTGATCACATGTTGACGTCATCCACAGGCACCACGCTCATCCTTGGGTATCTGAATGAGAAGAACAGACCCTACAGCGCTCAGGATGTCTTCTGCAATTTACAGAAGCAGCATGGCTTTGGCAAAACGGTGAGGAGTCATCCTTAAACCTGTAAAGATGCTGTGGTGTGTGTTTGTGCCGCTTGCAGTCAATGATTGAACTGTTGTATTTGTGATTCTCCAGGCGGTGGTCAAAGCCATGGAGCTGCTGGCTCTGGAGGGCAAGATAAAGGAGAAAACATATGGCAAACAAAAGATCTATTTTGCTGATCAGGTCAGTGTGTTCAACAGAAATACTATATTGTTGTGGAAAGTAGTAGGCACTGGAAGCAATGTATGCAAAAACTGTCATTTTCCCTACAGTCTCAGTTCACAAATGTGAACGAGGCCGACCTGAAGGCGATGGACGTTCAGATCTCACAGCTCAGTGCAGAGGTGCAGTCTCTCACCCAGAGCTGCAGACAGCTGGATGCAGGTGCAGTAAACCGGCCATCTTTACAGCTTGGTGTCTATAGACAGAGTGGGGGGGCACTCTGAGCCTCATCAAGATATATGCATGTTGCACTGTTTTATGATGTTGCTAATAGCTACACAAGTACAGTAAATGGTCTACCGTATTTTCCGCACTATAAGGCGCACTGGATTATAAGGCGCACCTTCAATGAATGGCCTATTTTAGAACTGTTTTTATATATAGGGCGCACCGGATTATAAGGCGCATAGAATAGAAGCTACTACAGTCAAACGTTTGACTGTTCGAGTTTGTCCTCTAACTGTGGCCATCTCGCTTTGTTCCCTCGGAAACTCTTTTTAGTCTTCTTTACTTGGCACAGGTCATCTTCTTGCTTCCTCCACTTCCGTACCATTGATTCATTAATGTTGAATTCTCTCGCTGCTGCTCTATTCCCATGTTCGGCTGCGTAGCTGACAGCCTTGAGTTTGAACTCAGCGTCGTAAGCGTGTGTCTTGAAAGGTGCCATTTTGGGGTCTTTATACTAGGAGTAAGCACAGTACCGGTGTTTACCGCTGTTACTTCGGCGACGCCCCTGACTACGGTAGCCGTAATGCTGCAAGCGGTGCGGCTTTGTAGTTTACCAGTCGTACTGAAACATTTTGACAGAGCGCCGTGTACAACCAGTATAGATCAACCAGTTAACCAATTGATCCATATATAAGGCGCTCCGGATTACAAGGCGCACTGTCGTTTTTTGAGAAAATTAAAGGCTTTTAAGTGCGCCTTATAGTGCGGAAAATACGGTATATGACATTGAAATTTCTGCCAATAGATCTTCTTAAATCCTACACTACTACTGTGTTTTTGCTGTACTGCATTGTTAAGAGGATGCTGTGTACATTTACGTGACTTGTCCACTGACAGAGCTGAAGGAGCTCAGCAGCTCCCTGACAACAGAGGAAATGATGTCAGAGATCCGGGAGCTGAAAGCAGAGTGTTCCGGTTACAGAGCGCGTCTGGAGAAGATAAAGTCGGCCACAAATCACGTCACACCGGAGGAGAAAGAGAAGGTCCGGGAGGCATTTACGCTTTTTAATTACAGCAAAACATCTTAGAAACCTAGTGAAGATACTGTTTTTTATGTTTGCTGTACAGTATGGTCATAATAAACAATATACTCATATTTTAATTTACAGGTTTACAAAGACCGGGATGTTTACGTGAAAGAGTGGAAAAAGAGGAAGAGATTGGTAACGTATACAGAGCTGCAATGATTAGTTGATTAATAGATTAACTATTTTTATAATCTATTGTTTTTAAGAAAATATGACTTTCTGGTTCCAGCTTCTCAAATGAGATGATTTGCAGTTTTTCTTTGTCATAGATATGTCAATAAATTAAATATCTTGTTTTTGGACTATTAGACAAAACAAGCTAATTGAAGACATCACTTTGGTCTCTGAGAAATTGTGAAAAGCATTTTTTTGACTTTTTTTTTAAAAGCACTCCACGGATAAACTGATGTAAAAAATAATAAAATGTTTATTTGGTGGTAAATACATTTAAGTGAGAGCCACAAAAAAGCTTATGTGTATTTTGCAACTGTATCCCGGTACTGCCTTATTTTAAATATTTAAGATTAATTAAATAAAGATGTCAGTATCAACAGTACGAGTGTTGGAAGCAGGAGATAAAAGATGAGAAAGTAGATATGTAGACTTGTGGTAAAAAGACATCCATTGTTATGATACAAAGAAACGCTGTTGCCACTAAATTCTTAAACTTTGTTTTCCTCTCAGGCTTCAGACATGATGGATGCGATCCTTGAAGGATATCCTAAGAGCAAGAAGCAGTTCCTGGTGCGTGAAACCTGCTCTTAAATACATTCTAAAGCTTCTCTTCATGCCGCTACTTGTTTGGGTTTCACTTGTGAGTGTCTTTTTGATCACAGTTCTAACGAGTCATTAACCTGTTTCCCTCACAGGACGAGGTGGGAGTTGAGACGGATGAGGACTCTAAGGTGGTGGTTCCCAGTACTTGAGAGAACAAGGAAACGCTTATTTATGCACTTCATCAATGTAATTACACATCAGAGCGGTCGGAGCCACAGCACTCTTTATTTATGGCTTTTCTCTTGAACAGATCGTACATCTTTAATAAAAGTTGAATGGCAAAACCTCCACTGTAATAAAGTACATTTAAACATAAACAGCTGAGACACACTAACACTACGTCACAAACCACACGCGACACTGGCGGATGCTTGTCGCCTCTTCGGCAACTTTGGTTTATTTTTTCCCTTTTTAAAATGAAAATGTCAACGAATCAGTCGTTATACCTTTGAGAGCTTCTTTGTTCATCTGTTAAAGTCCATATTAAGGATATTAATTTTACAGACATGAGCTGTCAGCACTGTGATTTGTCCTTTTCTGCTGCACTTTACTTCTTTTACTTACAAATGAAGCCAGACAATAATTCTTTATATTTCTTTGGATGGTGATGCATGGTTATTATAAAACTATCAAAAGATAATACTTGAAGCAACAACACAGTAAAAAGTGATCATTTCCCTTTTATTAAAGTGTCTTTGTTATTTAACTTATTCCGATAAGCCATCACGATAATTAGCTTGTTTAAAAATCAAAGTTGAATCTTTTGTAAATCTCACTGGTAACCTGTGACTGGTGGAGGCTACAGTGATAGCTCAGTTGGAGCCTGTTTCTACCAGCTGGTGTTGAACATTCACACGAGGTTCATACTGTTTATAGTTTGTGATGAACTAATACTGATCACAGTAAATGGCATCATGGTGGCATTAAAACCACTGACATATCAAGAGATTACATCATTTAATTTAGGAAATGCTTACTGAAGAGTAAACTGCAATCTGATAACTCATCAAAAGTATATACAAATAGAGACAATGATCCCTAAATCTGAATGCCTCACACCTTTGTCCCAATAAAGGTGGAATAGTTTGTTTTTAAGCCTCAGTAATACATACTTGATGTGCCAGAGTGAGGGTGTGTGTTCACCACCCGTCTTTTTAGTTCGGTTAATAGACTTCAGAAGCAATGCGACCAATAAACTCAATCTGTCAGAGGATTTATTTAAGGGCAACTTCAGATTGTGACTACAGCTAGTTACTGCACTGTCACTAACATTTAACACTTCTGAGCGCTTGTATTTCTTAGCAGAACAATATCAAGAGATATTAACAGTCGGCTGAGGATAACATATGCTCGTTTATCTGCCCGTGTGCACACTTACGATCAGAAAGTGATGCTTCTTAAAAAGATTCTCAATCCATCTCTGCCCACAGTGGGAGGTCGAGGTAATCCAACGTGCAGCCAGCGAGTGTAAATACTGAGATGTGGCCGGACGCTGATTGAAGTTTCTTATTTTAACTTCACCCTGAGAGGCCAGAGTAAGACCAAAAGTCAATTCATGAGAGTTCAGTCCAGTCAGTCAATAAAGCTGACCATTGAGCTGCCGGAGCACCCCGACAACAAACTCCCTCAGCGTCTAGGAAGCAAGGGAAGGAGCACACAGACGGTTATTATCTCAACATTAACTAAAGCCACACTGACCAGCTTCATCTCAAAAACACTCATCACCTGTGGCTTGCAGTGCTCCTCGATCCAGCTGAAAACGCAGGCGGAGAGTTCCTGAAAGCTGCTCACGGAGACAGAGTTGCTGAAGGACTGGAACAGGGAGTCCATGATGCTCTGAAACACGTTGAACTTGACCTGGTCCGACACCTGGTCCTCTCCCTGATGTGGGTTGTTCTGGTGGGCCTTCACTATGTGCTCATAGTTCCTGTTGAGAGAAGCTCATACGTGTTGGGACTATAGAATAAATAATAGGAAAAACAAGCTTGGCAGAGAAAGTTTGCTAACTGCCATCTCACGTTTTCATGATTTTCAGCGCCATCACTTCTTTCCTCAGTAAAGAAACTTCCTCCTCTTGCTTCTTCTTTTCTTTGTGAAGGAAATTGATGTAGTCGATCGCTGCAAACAAACACAGAAACGCATCCGTCAGGGATTTCTTCACTCCACACAGATTTAAGTTTCCTTTTTTAAAAGAGGTGGTGGCCCCACAAACAGCAGAAATGCTGCCACTTCTTCTTTCTCCCCGCAGTGCAGATACATCTAATTGATATCTATGTTTGTATTCTCGTCTTTTTTTGCCTGCTTTGAAAAACTCTGACCTTTGCTTACTTGGACCTATTTACCATCCTGCCTTAACATATATGAGATGTCTAAAGATGTATTAACTTCTATCCAAATACAAACATCACTCACAAACGCGACCGCTAAGTGTTCCTCCATTAACTCCTCCTTCCTACGAGGGGACGTCTTACTTTTCTGTAGCACGGTGGCCTTGCTGATCTTCTGTGCTCCCACTGCAAACTCAGACTGCTGCTGGCAGGTTGGGACGATGGTCTGGAGGTCTTCGTAGCCTTTCTACAGTAAAAACAAAACAATAACTCTGAAACCTTTGAATGTGTGTGCTGTGTATCTGCAGTAAGTCACAGAGACCGATCTGCGGTCTACTGGAGCTTTACCTTGATAGCATCTCGACGCTTCTGCTCAGCTTGTGTGTGCGCTTGTCTCCGTCGATCTTTATACGAGTCCTTATACGACGTCTCGTGTCTGTAGTCGCTGTCTTCATCATCTATTCCACAATATATTAACTCAGATTAAGAAACACGTCTTATCTATACACAGGCTGTGCTTTATGCTCTCTCTTCTCTCCGGCAGCAAAATGACACATACTCACTGATATTTAACTTTTAATAAAAATCTAAAAAGATATCCCCTCAAGTGTTGTCAGGTGGCCAACAGGTAGTAAACACTGGACCTTCTTCATGTCAGCAGGAATCAGAGAAGCTGATTCATGACTCAAGTTCTAGAGATAATTGTAGTGCACGTTAAACTGGCCTATGCTAGACATTAGTCAACAGAAGCTAATCATAAAACCGTGCTGACAGAATCTGAACAAAGCTACGCGGATGCATCACAGTTCTGTGTGCGCTGCATTTTATTAAACATTTAATTACACAGCATAAACTGCCCCTTCTGGTTTTTAAAGCTCTCCATTAGAATTACTGTTATTAAGAGCGCCGTGTGAACTGAATCGCACCGAGCAGCCGGACTGGTTTTTACTTTTTTACGAAGCAGGAAGCAAAAAAAATATATATGTTTCAGATTAACAATGAGCGTTTACTTTGAATGAAATGCATCATGGGGAGGTCATTCAAAGTGGGGCACAGTCAAAGAAAAACATCACATCAAAATCTAGAAGTAGCACAAACTCTGTCTTTAAACTGTCAGCGCTGTCAGATCCCCGTGGTACGAACAGAATACCTGTGTTTGGTACTGAAGAGGCACTTGTTGAGCCGATGCTGTTGGCTCTGGACACAACTGAACCCTTTCTGGTCGTTTCAGCAAAGAAACCTACAGAGCAAGACAACAGACACCAAAGATGTTTCACTGTGAGCACAGAGATAGATTGACACGTTAGCTCAAGAGACTAGAAACACAAGGTGACCATCATACAGCCTGAATATCACACGACGTGACAAACAACGGGATGTGAGCCGGCTGGATACTCACCAGGGTCAAAGCCGCTGTCGCTGAAAGCGCCGTCTGTCTGCTGAGCCATCGTCAGACAACAGAAGATGGAGAAAGGAGAAAATAGAGGCTGAGACGCTGGTATAAAAATATAAAAAGGGCAAAAAAAAATGTGCTGCCCTAAATACGACGACAATAGAACAACAGCTCACCTGCCTGACAGTCTAAACCCACACTGAGCACTGCCCTAGTTTGTCCAATTCAAGTGTGCAGTATCCAATCAGTGATTCACAGGTTCACAGTTTGATCCGGGGCAACACAACACAATAGTTCCTTTAATTTAAGGCTCCAAAATACTGGTTCTTGTTCATTTTTCACAATGAATCCAGGAGGCCAAACACAGAAAACGTGTGCAAGTCTTGCTAAATGTTTGGAGCGTCTGACTAACCAAAAGGTTTTCTGCCTGATGCCTATACATATATAATATATAATATATATATATATATATATATATTATTTTTTTTTTTTTTTTTTTTT